ATTGATGTATAACGTGTTATAAGTACCTAATGGATATTGTGATATGATTAATTTGGAATTTATTATAGGTCAATTTTTTTTTTAATACCATAGATATGTATATAATATGTCTTAAACCTAGACTGACATACCGTCTTCGCTCAGAATCGTTTTTCTTATACAATGATATTGTATCATTGGATTCAAATTTAATAATTAATACCATCCATTATACAGTGACCCACTTGTAACCTACTGTACAGCAGAGCGACATCCACTTACCCACCTTTTTTAATTTTGATTACGTATTGTGATCCATATTCCATATTATAATTATTATGAAATCGGCCCTTTACTAGTTAGAAGCTGCTCAATCAATGGTCGCTTAAAGTCACCAATAAAACTTAAAATGTCCGTTAGTTCAACAACCGAAGTAAACATTTTTCTCAGGTATTGACCGTATTGTAATCGAAATAATAAAATAAATGAAATTGTTCATATAAAACAAATTAAATTAATAAATAATAATTGTAATGTGAAATACTGTTATCAACATACACAGTGGCCCCGTTAGTAAAATTGACTACAGCGCCCCTATATTTGCTTTCTATCGCGAATTGTTATGAATGACCTTTTTTGTATTCCGTTTGCGCAATACTATTGTTATAAAAGGCATATGGTGTTTTCCGATCGCTATTGTTACAAAAAACCTTTATATGGGCCGTTTGCGCATCGCTATTGTTAAAAAGGCATAGGGTGTTTTCCCTAGCTATTGTTACAAATAACCTTTTTATAGGCCGTTTGCACATTGCAAATTACGTATACCAGGTTTTATTTACACTTACAAAAATAATCGTCAATATTCATAATTCATATTTAAAAAAAATACAAAATTAATATTCACATTTACCAAAAAAAAAAAATAAATGTATTTTGCATTCTGGAAAAACAAACTTAATTTCAATATGAGCGCTTATTTCAAAATCGGCTCTCATTAAATTAGGCATGAACGACAAATTAAATGAACCACACAACTCCTTTAAAAAGTTCCACATCTTAGTATAACATTCCGTACTTGTATAACTTATCAGTTATACATATTATCTCACCAATATATCCGGTCATGTCACTAATAGGTAGATAGGCAGGCACGGCACTAGAATTTTTTCCAGGGGGGGCAGAGTGGGGCAAATATTTTTTTTACATGGGCTAAAATTGTTTCAACAAATGCTGAGGTTATTTAAATGAAATATAAATATTTTCGTATCATATAACATAATATAGCTATTAGCTATATAGTACATACGTTTTAATCGTTTTATATTGTATGCTCTAAACGTCTAAACATATAATATTTACAAACTTTTGAATAGTTAAAAATGTTTTAAGAATAATATCAAATATTTTTTTTGTACCTAATGTAATATGTAAGAAAATGTTTAATCACAGACCTAAGACCTTCAACAACTATATTCATAATGATAATATAATATACAAAAATAATAATTTCTTTATGAGCTAAATATTGATTTTTTATAGAATATCTGTTTATGCACCATACAGTAAATGATTGAAAATCTTTTAATATTGAAAAAGTTAACAAAAATGTATACAATTGCACTGATATCAGTAGGAATACAATTTGTTTTAAATAAAAACTTTTGATTACCTACCTTATATTTAACTAGTACATTTTAAATTTTTAATTCAATACATTTTTAAATTGGTATTTGCATAGTAGTGTATGTATTGACTATTGAAGTACCTACTTTATATTTTTTGTTAAATTTTGGAGGTTAAAATAGTTCATATATTATATACATTAAAACATAGATACTTTAAGAAATCTTTTTTTATTAATTATCAAGTAATATGTGAACTAATTACCATGACAAATAAGATTATAAAAATAACAAAATAAGAAAATTGAATAAATTATTTAATTATTTGAAATAAGAAATTTGGCATGCTAATTACTAAACTAATATAAGTAGGTAGGTACGAATACCAACTCCTTACACAATAGTATTGTGTTAATCAAACATAAACATATTTAAAATAATAAGTCAACTAAAAATATTTTTAACTGTATACAACAAACATTAATTATATCGTACATATTTTTCAGTGGGGGGGGGCTGGCGAGGGGGCTGATCTGTTTTCTGGGGGGGCTAGAGCTCCACCTTGCCCCCCTTGGCGCCGTGCCTGTAGATAGGTAATAGGTAGTAGGTACCTTTCTATTGTTAAAATTTGCGATGCGCAAACGATCTACCAAATGTCTTACCTAAGGTACTAATCATGGCTAAATAAACCATATCACTCACAACAGCTACTACTAAAAAACCAGAAATTAGTAATAACTTTGATATTAACTCGTTCAGTATTTCTTTTGTCATAGGAGTATCGTAAGAATAAAATATGGGTTGCTTCCATGATTTGCAGAGTCCTCGTGCCATAACTACTTGAACCGTCTTATGAGGGCCCAAAACTTGCTGAACAGCCTTATCAAAACATATATCATGAGCTAAGTACACCTCATCAAACGACAAAATAACCAACTTTTCCTGGTCACTCATAGAATCGCCTTAAATTTTAATATAATAACAATTAAAAATAATTAATTTTGATTGTATCACTTAATTAGAAGGGTAATATTTAAAGTATTTTATTGACCTTTGGCTTTCATTATCCTTAGTACGCCATTCAAAACCCCAGGTTCTATAGGAAAATTCAGTGCCCACGTTCTCAAAGTAGATAATCCTATAATAGGTAAAATTTATAATTTTTGGTCAAATTGAAATTAAAAATTTAAATTTGTCAAACCGTGGTTAAAACAAATACTTTTTTTAGTTTAAAATTGCACTAACCAGGATAAGGATATCCTAATGTTAATCTTAGGTAGTTATACGCCTTAGGTGATATGCTCCGTAATGTTATAGCACCAATGATATCCTCATTTTCCCATTTTTGTATCCGCTTCTGAGGTTGTAAAAAATATTGAATTTGTGTTTTAGTGAAAAATTTAGATAATTTATTTTGAACATCATTCTCATGGTCTATTATATTATCGTTAGTCTTAACTGGGGTTTTTTTTTCTTGTGCTTTCTTCAGCATATCAATTTCTTTTTGAACTTTTGAAAGCGTTGTTTTTGTTTTTTCTAACTCTTGCAGAAGTTGTTGAATAACATTACTAATAAAATTAATTAAACGATCATTGATTAAAACAAAGCAACACAAAATTGCACATTTTTAAAACCTTTCAGAGACATCGTTGCTATCATCAGCTAATGAATGACATTCAGCTATTACATTATTATCATCGGCTAATAAGGTGCTACCCATTAAAGGACTATCCACAACTATTAATGAACTATCTGCAGCGTTAAATTCATTTAACAATGACCTATTTAATTCTTTGTTTCCAATTTCTGTATCTGCTTGTCCCTAAATAAAAATAGAGTATGTACCAAATAAAGTTATATATTTATATTTTTTAATATATTAATTTGTTTTAGTTTTTAATTTTGTAAAAAAATGATAAAAGAATTATTAAAGGATTTGGAGACATTGTTAATGGCACCTCTGATTTATTTGGTAGTAACTTAAATTCTGAAGGCTCTTGGTTTTCCTCTTGGTTATACATTCCCATTTCCTCGATGGATAAATATTTAGTTGGTATTTGAAAATCTTTGAATTAAAGATTTTTCAACCAGTGCAGATTTTGAAAAGTGTATAGAACAAATCCTCGCTGGGTTTTCACATTACAAAATAAAAACATAATATATAGATAGGCAATACAAAATGAACTAATTAGTAATAAAATTAATGAATAGATATTAAAATATATAATATAGCTATTTTATTCATCAGATTTTAAAATGTTTTCATTCTTTTACATAGTCTTACATTATCTGTGGTTATAATTTAAAAAATAATTCAGATGTTAAACATTATTTTTTATAAATATGTAACATTAACTTTGTATTAAATTAAACAAAAAACAATTATATACCAACCATCTTTCAACGTCCTATTTTTAATATCACAAACATCAAACCATTTCTCCCGAATACTAGGAGACTTAGGCAGTCGATAAAAACTAATATTTTTATTCGGCTTCCGAAAGGAATTGTTTGAACACCAAGGAACCATACAATTGGGCATTTTAAAGAGAAAAAAAAAACAAACAATTCTTTACTCAACAATTCAAAAATAGTTGCTGGAATAATATTAAATGACAGGTTGGGAACAAACAATTTATGTTGTCATGTTTTAGATATTATCTTACAAATTTATAAATAATAATAACATAAATTATACTGCTATATTTAGAACATGTATTAATTCTTTAGTGATTATCATTATCCCATCCCTCTTACTCAATGTTTTGTCCATGGCTAAATAAAGTTTATTTAGCCATGGTTTTGTCCTGTCACTAAACTATCACTAAAGACATAATGGTATAATGGATCAACTTTTCAATCGTACAAATTCGGCGGTTAAAGCGTCAATATTCTTCCATGATTATTTCGCTTATTCCAAGTATGGGGCACGGCAGCTTGCGCAGTAGAATCTTAGATCATATACTAGTATATGATCTAAGAGTAGAATCTTGCTGACATGCCTGTTTATTTAGCCATGGTACTAATGATGCTCAAACGACAAACTCCGATGGTTTGCCCGTTTGGCGTCCCTATGACCTTATCATAGTCCTTATCGTTTACCGGCTTCCCGCACATTTTGTCACGGTTGCTTTCACAGTCGTGTTGAGTGTTCGCACTGTTCGTGCCTCTCATACCCTCGTAAATTATAAATCTGTCGCCGTAGATGAATTTCTGTAATTAAATGGTATTCGACTATTCAGTGGACAATACCGATCGCGTACCTTCGACCCTCATTTGTTGTTTCTTGTTCACCAGTAATTGTTGGTTGTAAGTTATGACTTAAAAGTATTTAAATATTATTCTACGATACGGGTTTATTGAGTTATTTAGTAATTTTGTTGGACACTGCGTAACGAAATGGAGAAGGCCATGGCTAGTTTTTCCTCGTCTGTGGATGAATCGCATTCGGAAGAAGAATTTCAATTGTTTAAGACCCAGCTGAACAAGGTTCAAGATATGATCGAAGAATACAGCAACAAAAGTATGTACCTATATTTTGTTTATCTTATAGTCATCTGAGTTTACTTGTATCATATTATAATTGTTATTAATTTTTAGTCGTCGACAAGACATTGTGTTCTGATGATCTAGCTAACATGAAGACAGAAATGACATATTTGACTGAACTTGAGGTGAAAGTGACTTCGGAAAAAATGAGTAAGTGCACTTAAGCTTTTAAAGATTTAAAAAAATCATTGGATGCTTTAAGTGAAGATCTCCCCTTCCTTCATTAATATATATTGTGTAATGGCTTTAAAATTTAAATCCATTCATAATAATGGTGATATGGCCGCTTAAATTTGCAGTACTGTCATTATACTGACCACGCAAGTCTGTTATTGATAGGTAGTTTAAATTACGTTGGAATATCAGAAATCAATTTCAGAGATCAGATAATTCGTTAATCCTGTATCAAAAAACCCTAAAAATAGTTTAATCTACCTACATCTAAGTTGTCACTTAAAATACAGAAACTTACTGATACTTGCTTTAAACGGACATGGGCCAGTTGCTCCAAATATATATATACAATATATTAACATTTATGAAATATTATTATTGATGCAATTGGTATATAAAAATATTGTTTTAAGCGCAATTGATAAACTCCCCTTTATACATTAATAATTGTTTATTATTTCATCCATAAAATTGTCTATTGATTTATTAAATTTATTAGTTAAATAAAAAACATTATTAATTATTAACAAAATTTGTATGGGGTACTTACTACTTAACACTCTAAACTTACTTCAATGGGTGCTTGAGCGCCCAGGCACCCTTCTACATGGTGCCCATGCTCCTAGGTATTCAAATCATTTAATCATACAATTTTTATTGAATTTAACCAACGATTTTCAGGAGCCAATTATGTGACATACAAAACCATATCTTTAAAAATGGTACAAGAATCTTATCGTATTTGTAACTGGCTTATGGAAAAGCAATGCAGTGAAATGGATAACATTTTTGATATAGACACATATGTTGATAAAATTGTATGTATATTTTATTATAATATTTACATTATCCAATTATTTAAAAATTTATATTTTTTCCTTTTTCTTAAATTTTAGATTAAAGCATGTGTTCGTGAAAAAGATCCTTTGGGCCACATGGACACTTTATTCAGAGGTGCCTTCAAAAACATCCATTATTTTAATCTAAGTTTCTACGGTAACATTAAATCAGAAGAGGCTGTTGAAACCCAAGTATTAACACAATCAAAGAAAGAATACAGAAAATCACAAAAAAGACCGTTAGAAGAACAAGTGGTTCCTGTTGAGGTGTATAGAATATTATTAAAAATAATATTTATTTCACTGTTTTTATAACATAGATTTTGATTGGATTTTTTGTTATTTAGGTGGGTAGTGAAACTGGTGACAATGAATTACAAATCACTTTATTAAGAGTTAAAAACTGTTTGAAGAAAGCTGTGTCAGATAATCAAGGAAATCCAGTACCATTCCACAAATTTGCTATCGATCCATTTAGCATGACATATGCAATAGAAAATTTATTTCATTTGGCTTCATTGGTGAAAGACGGCGTTGTGAAAGTTGAAACAGTTTCAGGTTATTATGTACATTTAAAAAAAACCTATTATGCAGAACTGATTTAAATTTACTACTTAGTCTATTTTCCTATTATTTATAAAATTAAGTTGGAATATTATTTATTTTTGATATTAATCTATTTTAAACCTTCAAACCTTACTATATTTACATGCAATCAGAAATAATTATATTATAAATATAATATTAGATGATTGCAGTGAAATAGCTATAATATTGGATATTAAGAATGATAATAAAATTTCTTTACTGATACATTTTTATTATCTTCATAAATTAAAACGAAACCAAAAAATTGCACAATCAATTTATAGATTTATGTAATACAGGCTAATATCCTTTAAGTTGATGCCTTTAAAAATTAATAATAATAAAAGAAAAATAATAGATTTATTAATTTCAATAAAAACATAAACATTTTCAAATTTAGTTGATTATAATTTAATTTGCATTATGTTTTTATTGTTTATGTAATATTTATTATATTTGATTTATTATTATACAGTCAAATCCACTTAATTGGGACACATTGGACCTATTTCTCCCCATTATGCGACTGTCCCGATTAACCGAATAATTTTACATACAATACATTCATTCAGGACTGTCATTAGTGTCCCCTTTAAGTGGCAGATTCTACTGTATATGATAATATAATTATTTTTTCCCTACAGATGATGAAAATGATGAATTTTCAACAATAACATTGGCAAAAAAAAAAAGTACTAATGACAAATCTAAAGGAGATCAAGTCAAATCATCTTTATTCACAATGAACCATGAATTATGGCAGGTAGTTATCTTTTATTTTTGACTTACTTGTCTTTTACCATACATAAATCATAAATAATACTTTTTTTTTAATATTCCAATATGTTTAATTTTAATTTTTCAGTATTATATCAAAAAATATCATATAACTGAAAGAATGATCGCACAAGACGAATAGAATTATTACAAAAAGATTTTTGTATGTTTTTTTTTTTAAATACCACTATTTTATAAAAACCTTGATTTATATTTTTTAAAAAAACCACAAACAATTGTTGTGGTTCTTAATCCGACCATGTAACTCTCATAATAGTCTTATTTTAATGAAGTCAACTATTATGACTTTATGAGCATGTGTCATTAAGGCAAGAAAAATAAAAAGCTTTTATTTCAAATACTATAATTATTTTTCTTTCTTAATTATTATTAATAACTACCTTCTGTTTTACCAGTAATCTTGCAAATTTAATATATTATACAGTATCCATGTCCTATTATGGGTTGAATTGTTAAAACTATTAATGTATATTAAGTAATTTATTGTTTTACTTTTTTAATGTTAGTACAACATGTCAACATGTAAACATATAATAAATGTATTATTATTTATATTTTGATAGTGGTTTATGCCATATGATTTTGTTAATATTATATTACTTCAATAAGATATTTGTATATATTTTTATATTTTATTTATGTGGGATTTATGAAAAATGTCTAGTGACATTTTGAATCACATTTTATTATTTTGGAGCTTAAATGTACAAAAAAAAAAATTTTTTTTTCAGTTACCAAACATATTTTCAAAATATAAATGATTATATAAAATTATTTCTTACCAAATTATTAAATTGTATTTGTAAATTATTATTTAATTTATATTTTGTACTTACTGATCCCACACACTTCGTTGCTCGTAAAAAAATTACAACTTTTAGAAAAAATTGTGATTGTTCAACTCTTGCAAATCACTCTGATGGCAATCTGATCATAATGTGCATAGAAAAAAGATTAAGATAATGTGTTTGATCGCGGACAATGTATGACATCATATCATGTAGGAAATGTGTGAAAATGTTTGCTTGCGCCTTGCATGCTTACACCTGATCTGCCCGATTAACCAATGGCAACCAAATAATGAATACTAATTTCTACTAATGATTTCTGGAATTCGCGTTGTAATATGCTATCTACCTGTACGTTGATCGCTTTATATGTTATCTACCTTTCGAGTTTACCCTCATAACCTTTTAATTTTTTGAGTTATGGGTAATTCAAGTCTTTTAAACTAAAGTAAGTGCAAACCTACTGCATATTCAGTGGCAGATCCAGGGGGAGGTCAAAGGGTGCATTTCCCCCCTTCCAATCACCGTGTTTTTCCTTTGTTGTATACTGTGTTTAGCCAACAGAACTTTTTGTACTTTTGCCCCCATACCCCTCCCTAAATTAAGCCCTGGATCCGCCACTGTGCATATTTGCTGATGTATCTTCAAAATGTTTTTACACTTTATAGATGTCTTATTGTGTTATCAACTAACATACACAAATAAACCAGAAATGGACAAATTATTTTTATTAAATTAAAGAAAGTAAAAAAAGTTGGAATTCTTGAAAGGGAATCGCGTATAACTCCAAATAACCCAGTATTTATTACAGTATTAATTTTTAATATTCTACAGCAGTGCTTCTCAACCTTTTTTTACGACAACACCTTAATATTTAGATACATACAAATGACAGTATGACAACATTATATTTTTAAAAATTAATAGATTTTTGAAAAAGTAACAATTATGAACCTATATGTAAATTGAGAATAAAGCTGTCTTCACAATATTGTTCTTATCTCTTTTCCTTATTAATTATTCATGGTTTTATCATCCCATCATAACGCCTCTCGATAACCCAAGTGGCCAAATCAATATAATGCCAATACTATATTATTTTTCATTGAGCACTTTTTTAACTCTGGCTGATTTGCACTAGAAGTAGGTACCATCTGCCTAAAACAGCTTGAACCTAAAATATCTATATGGCTAGATCGTCAATTTCTTTTTAAGTATTTTTTGTTTTTGTTTTTTAAATACTATACTACTATAGGTTTTATTATTTGTTTAATATAATAAATTGTAGTAATATCATTGTTTATAAATACTGTAGATCACTTACTGGCCCGTATTCACGCGGCTCGAAAAATTGACGTACGTTACCCCAGCACACGATTTTCATATTTTTTTTTGAAACATACTTCTCGCATACTAAATGTTGGGACCGAAAAAAAACACTGATGCCACTGACTCTCGAGGGAGGTCCTGGAGAAACGTTTCTCCAGCGCTGCCCCAGTTTTTTGTTTGTGGTGAGAAAACTAAACTCGTACAAATTTGAAAAATGGTCATACTAATTGCATAGGTACTCAATATTAGCACAAAAAATGGGGGGGGGGGGTTAAAGAACTTGAAAAATTGACAAAATATGGATGTGGCCGTTGTAGTCTGTACTCTGTAGAGCACTGTCGTCGCCCAATAGTACTTAACTTAAGGGGTATGAATAGTATTGAACATTTTAAAAATTCTATTAAAATGAATTTTTGTATTTCCAATTATACTGAGGTTTATTGAGTTGTTTGAGAGTAAATTGTAAATACACTTATTATCAATATTGTGGAAGAGAAGTTAATCTATGCATGTTTAAAAGTCGATTTTCGATATTTTAATTACTAAACTCTATAATTCAAATTCAAAAAGTAAAATATCACAAGTTTTAGAGCTAAATATTGGACATTGAAAATAAAATATCGAAAATCAACTCCTATACAAGCCTATAGTTAAACTTCTTTCCTTCAATTCGTATAATAGGTGTTCATACTGTAATGTCACTCAGTAAGCTATATTATTGGATATACGAAACTAAGTTTCAGTGTTTCACTAAAATTCACATTTGTAATAATTAGTGTTACTGACATGTGCGGTTGCGCTCGGCTATTTATTTTATACACAGTCACTCACACTAATGATAATTTACTACGCACACATTTACACGACCCGTATGCAAACAAATAGAAAATTGCCTATATCGAACTCCTTAGAAACAGTGGGTATACATAGAAATATTTAAGTTTCATAAAAAAAAATACCGTACAAAATGTTTGAACACAATTTAATTGTTTACTCGATAAATGAAAATTTCGTAACCTACCGTGTGTACAAAGTTATATTTCGTAAATTTATAATGTATTATTATAATTATTATTACTTACCTACTACGTCTCTGTGACCAGGTGACCTGTTATATGCAAATACAACATTAAGGGGCCTCGCAATGGCATTGATTTAAGGAGAATCATTTAGGCAATTTCTAATCTCGTCGTCGCCACCCGAGATCTATGTGTTAGTCGTAAATGATTATTAGTGTGTGTGGCGTCCATGCGGGACAATTGTAGCTCTCGCACGCACTCGCACACACATGTCAATATATAATAATATTGTGATCATGAAAAAATGCTTATTAGTTATTTTTCACTTAAACATACGATTCTAATTCCAACAGACGTACGCAACGATTACCTCGATTTTCATTCTGACAAAATATTCTTATTTTCCACAACATGTACGAGGGATCGATCGAGGCACATTTTTAAAATTGTATTTAGTTAATTAAATATTTAAGTTGGAAATTCTGTATTTTTTTTTGATTTTTTTACAATTTTTATTGCAATTTAAATTACAAAAATTAAAAATGTGGCTCGATCGTTCCCTTGTATATATTACGGACAATCAGAATATCTTTTCAGAATGAAAATCGTGATAATTGTCGACACGTATCGTTGGAATTAGAAACAGTAGTTTTTGACAAAAAAAAGACTTGGTAGTGAGGCCCCTTAAATAAGTTAAAGATTATTTCGAAATATTATAGCGAAGTAGGTCCTTATTATATTCTTCAATAATATACAGTACCTAGTTTACTGTACATTTTAAGCTTGTGGGTACGCATGTCCCCTGTGCACCCCCCCCCCCACCACTGTTGAAACAATGATTAATGAATTTACATCGAAATTCAAAAAATTTTCATAATGTTGGATCGGCATCGTAGACAAGATACTATCGGCATCTTCATTATGAATTTAATCTTTACAAATTACTAATTAAAGACAAATCCGTCATGCCTAGTTCTATGCTAGTACCACGGACTATATATCTTAGTCTGTGGCTAATAATAGTACCTACCTACTATAATGTTGAAAATATTAGAATTTTCAAATCTTTTTTTTTAACTAGACAATTGTATTGTCTGTAATATAATGGTTTACAATAAGCACAAGTGATAAAAGAATAAAAGACAAAATAATAGGGTAATGTAACAAACAGGTTGAAAATTATTTACATCAATTCAGACAGGGGGGGGGGTGAGTGAAGAGACCATCCGTTGATGGGACTTCGTGAGAATTTTCAAATTAAAAAAAAAAAAAACAAATATTTCAGTCTTGTACCACCACTGAGATATTAGATGATTGTACCAATTATTGGTGCATCATACATTCATACTTACATACTTACATTCATACAGTCGTTTGGAACGAACGACTACGGAACAAATGGTACGACTGCACGTCGGGCATAATAATAATATGGGCAATGTGCCATTACGACATATGGCCGGAAAAAAACGCGGGAAACCTTGTGTGTACAATGCATATCAATACTATCCAATAGTACAATACATCGTCTTGTTTACTATGCTTAGTTCAAGACGTCGTGCCCGGTTCCGTCTTCCATTCTGCCAATCCGGCGTTCACTGTTCACCGTTGTTATTCGGTTATTGATGCGAATCGTTTGTCATCCAGTCGTTGGGATACTATAATATCTATCGTTGAGAGTGTACGGCCGTATTATACTAGTTCACTAAATTATATTATAACGATTATAATATAGTGCCTACATTTGATTAAAGCCGGCGTAGAAACGCACTCGAAAAGCGTAAACTGCAAACCCTTTGGAGATTTTTAATCAGGTGCCCACCCGCTAAACCTCCTCCACAATCATGTCCAACGACGTGGGAAAATCTGGCGACAAGCTGTTTGTGCAAAAGCGTGGTAAGTACCTGAATTGTGTTTAAGACAGCGAGGCTGTATAAGAATGTACCTACCTTGAATATTATGTGAATTACCTCCCCCAGATTGATATCCAAACAATTTATGTACCAACAGTAAAATAGTATTTCATTGTTCACACTTGAAATTCCACTAAAAGTCCCTCTAATGATGAAAACCTATGGTGCTAAATTTGTTATTGATAAAATGTATTTATGTATTTAGATGGTCGAATGGAAGAAGTTATGATGGACAAAATCACAATGCGAATTGAACAATTATGCGAGGGGCTCAATATGGACTTCATCGATCCGGTTATATGACATTTTATATTATTATTATTATAAAACATTTATCTATCTTAAACTAATTAAGTAAATACCTTCAAGTTTCTTTCCAAGCCATAATTGGTGTATACAAAATGTGAATTGACTTTGAATTCTTATTAAAATGTTTTCAAATTTAAAATATAATATAATATTATAATATATCTCTGTATACAACCAATATGTCAAAAAGAGATAGAGGAAATCATTGTCTTATTAAATGTTACCCAAAAGTGGCAAAAGTATAATTTAATCCCTTACTAAAATAAAACTAATTAAATTAAATGAATGTATAAAAAACTCAAATTTTGGTACCTAATTTTACCATCTATTGTTTCCATGTTAGGTTTATATTTGTTTGTTATTTTATTAAAATATTATGTTACATATATTATTTTTTTTGTTATTGTCGTTTAATAATATAATATTATAAATATAAATATATATTATTTAATTAAGTATGACTAGGGCCTGAAACTTGTTTCCATATCCTACCCAGAAAATGTATTATATTTTTTCTTTTAGCTTTACGGAGAAATCTATGCTTTTATAACTGAATAATTTGTTAATAGTTCATTAGAAAAATAATATTTATTCTAAATTTATTTTTCCCACTTTTAGCCTGAAATTACGTTATATGTCATCGGTGATATATGCCCAGGTATAAGCACTGTACAAATTGACAACTTAGCTGCTGAAACTGCTGCTTATTTAACAACAAAACATCCAGATTTTGCTGTACTTGCTGCTCGTATTGCAATTTCTAATCTTTATAAAGAAACTAAAAACAATTTCAGCGGTAAATTATTTATTCTGTCAAATTTATATGCATAATTAATTATATTTTGAGGATGCATGAATGGTAATTTTTTATACTATTACAGATGTAATTTATGATTTGTATAACATGTCAAATGAACAAAATCAAAGACGTATGAAAATTATTTCTGATTTTCATTATGGTGTTGTCATGAAACATGCGGATCGTTTAAATAATGCTATCAAACATGATAGAGATTATACTTATAGTTATTTTGGATTCAAGGTATGTACTACATAGTTCATTCTGTAATCAATAATAATTATGTTGTCTAAATGAGACATATTCATTCTTATAATACATTTCAGACACTTGAAAAGTCATATTTATTAAAAATTAATGGTAAAGTTGTGGAACGTCCTCAACATTTATTAATGAGGGTTTCAATTGGAATTCATGGTGAAGATATTGACGCAGCTATCGAAACATATGACCTAATGTCATCAAAGTATTTTACTCATGCTTCACCAACAATGTTCAATGCCGCCACACCTAAACCTCAACTTTCAAGGTAGACAAAAGGTATAGGTAATATTTAATATGTATTAACATTTTCCAAAATATTGGTTTAGTTGTTTTTTGGTGGCTAATAAATCAGATTCATTGGAAGACTTTGGTACAACAGTTAAAACATGTGCCAAGATTTCTCAATCTTCTGGCGGTATTGGTATACACTTACACAATATTAGTGCAGCTGGTACAACATGGACCAAATATCCAAAACATGAATCCCATGGTCTTGTTGAACCGTTGAAAGTCCTTAATGATTTAGCTCAATATGTTGACCAAGGTGGAAAGGTTAGTAAATAATAAATATTTTATTCCAAGTTTAAATCTGTTACTTTATTTTATTTGGTTTTATTAGAGACCTGGGGCAGTTGCTGTTTATATTGAGCCTTGGCATGCCGATGTATATACTTATACAGAGTTACGTAAAAATACCGGTAATAAAGAAGAAAAAACTAGAGATTTATTTTTAGCTCTTTGGATACCTGATGAGTTTATGAGACGTGTTGAGGCTGATCAATCTTGGAGCTTAATGTGTCCACGTAAATGTCCCGGTCTTTCAGATGTCTGGGGCGATGATTTTGTGAAACTTTACAAAAAGTATGTCTTTAGTATTTATTAAAGAAATATAAATAATAAAATATAAATAAGTATACTGTTAATATTTGTTCATAATGATTTGTAAAGAATCAATAATTAATGATTAGTAGATACTAGGTAGGTAGTCTGTACTTACAATTCCTGAAAATGGAACTTAGATTATTTCTTATTATTATAGTATACAAATTTATACATATTCATATTTCCTAAATAGAAATCATTAATCATTAATACAAACATACATTTATGTCTTAATATCATAGATATGAAGATGAAAAACGTTACAACAGGCAGGTATCAGCAAGGGAATTATGGTTTCGTATAATAACTTCTCAAATTGAAACTGGTATGCCATATGTACTGTATAAAGATGCCTGCAATTCCAAAAGCAATCAAAAAAATCTTGGTACAATTAAGTGTAGTAATCTTTGTACTGAAATCATTCAATACACTTCGTCAGAAGAGGTAATTAACTATCATATGTAAATTATATTGTATCATACTAGGTACATATTACTTTTATATATTATTTTTGTAGGTAGCAGTATGTAATCTAGCTTCAATTGCTGTAAATATGTTTGTAAAACCCAATGGAGAATATGATTTCGAAAAGCTTTTGAAAATTACTAAAATTGTCACCAAAAATTTGAATAGAGTAATAGATGTCAACTTTTATCCTGTCAAAGAAGTAATTAAATTTGTTGAATGAAAATACAGTTTTGTACATTACATTTTTATTACTTAGGCTGAAACTTCAAATAAACGACATCGTCCTGTTGGGATTGGCGTACAAGGTTTAGCAGATTTGTTTTTATTGATGAGATTTCCATTTGGCTCTCCTGAATCACGAAAGCTAAATTCACAAATATTTGAGACTTTATATTATGGTGCATTAGAAGCTAGTTGTGAGTTAGCTGAACAATATGGAACTTATTCATCTTATCAAGGATCACCAATCAGTCAAGGAGTAAATTAAGATAAAACAATAGATGTATTATGTTTGTTAAACAATGTTTATCGTTTTAGATTTTGCAGTATGATATGTGGAATGTAAAGCCTACTGACTTATGGGACTGGGATATATTAAAAGAAAAAATTGCTAAACATGGAGTTAGAAATTCATTGTTATTAGCACCGATGCCCACGGCTTCAACAGCACAAATTCTTGGAAATAACGAATCGATAGAACCATACACAACAAATTTATACTACAGACGTACTCTTAGTGGAGAGTTTAGTGTTAGTAAATCGTGTAATTGTATTGTTGTTGTATTTTAAACTTATCTTTATACTCCAGGTGGTTAACCGTCATTTATTGAACGATCTAATTAAGCTTAACCTGTGGAATGAGGATATGCGAAATGAATTGATTTACTACAAAGGATCTGTGCAGGTAAAAATAATCATTTTTAGAATTATATAATGAATGACATTTGTACTCTTAAATTTATGTTAATATAGAAAATAAAAAGTATTCCAAACAACATAAAAGAATTGTATAAAACAAATTGGGAATTATCTCAAAAAATCATATTAGATATGGCTGCAGATCGGGCAGCATTCATCGATCAATCTCAGTCATTAAATATTCACATTGAGCAACCAACTATTGGTAAAATATCATCTGTACATTTCTATGGATGGAAAAAGGTAAGTTAATCGTACATTTTTAATAATTTTAAATATTGTATTAATTTGTTTTTATAATAGGGCTTAAAAACGGGTATGTACTATTTGAGAACCAGGCCTGCTGCTGATCCTATCCAGTTTACAGTTAATAAAAGTACACTGTCTAGTAATGTTGCAATTCAAACTGAAAAGAATGATGCACTAAATATGCAGCAATTGATATGTTCATTGGAAAACAAAGACGCATGTACAATGTGTGGAGCTTAACTTAACGTAGTTACTCATTTAGTCTGTAAATAATGAGACAAATCATTTTATATAAATCACGAATTTGACCGTAGTTGTATTGTAATTCTTTTTTTGAACTTTATCTTTTATATTGAGTATTAACTATACATTTAATCTGTGCTAAACACGTAATTGGGAAATATGTAAAAAAAAAAATCCCAATTCAAAAACAAAAATGTATTTTTATTATATTATTATTTTTTAAACATTAATACACACTATATTGTAATATAACATTTCTAATTAAAAGGATTAAGTTTATTCAACCAACTTTTATCCTCTTCTACTGTTTCATTACTATTTTTCAATTCCTCTATCAATTCCAGTCTATATTTTGCCTTTAATGGCGCTTTCTTTTCGTTTAATTCATCTATATCTTGCATCTTAAGTAAAGCCTCAGAAAATGTTAAACCATACCATTCAATTTCTTCATGGGTGTAATCCTTTAAGTAGTGTTTATATTTGTCGTACACTTCTTGTTGTTTTACTTTATCATCTGCATACAAAGTCTTGTCTCTTAGAGCCATTAAAATGTGACGTTTAATTTTTAAACTTAAAGTGGTCCTCAAGTCACATGCAGCTGTTTTCAGTAGATAATGGTCTAAACCATAATTCTTATTGATAACATCTAGGGCCTTTTCAGTCACAGTAGTTGACATGTACTTATTTAGAATTTCACTGTAGACCACTGATTTTTTTAGTGTTGGTGTCCAAAAATGTGGAACACGACTCTTATATTTATTACCATTTTGTTTGAAACCTTGAACTACAGCTTCTCCTCCCCAAATACCAGAATGCATTGTTTTTGGATACTTCAAAGGAATTGGTATGTTCTGAACAGGAATCACCGCGCCAGTTTTCTCGTCTTTAGTCCATTTTCCTGGTGTAGCTTTGTAATAAACTGGTTCAGGAACTTTGTGACGCCATTCCTTATAAAATTTCTTATATGCCTCTGGAAGCCGATCACCAAGACCGGAACTGATCCTTGTTTTTTTTGGTATGTACAATAATTTTAAGCCATTGGCAAGTTTGGCTTCCATTTTAGGATTTCTAAAAAATTAAAAATGTATCAATAATAATATACATTCATAACATTACTTTTGTGATACAGATAATAGTTTAATTTTGCTTGAATTAAAATTAAGAAAAAAATATCAGTATACGCATAATAAATTTAGTTTTATGATAAATTACTATTATCGATAATTGTGTTAATATGAACTAAATTTATTTATTATATTCATGATTTAATCTTGTACCTACCTGTGTAGGTATATATATTTGTTTGTTTTATTTTTTATTTTTATTTAGTACCTATTGAAAACATAAGTGTTAAGATATGTGGATTGTAGACTTGTAATTATTTTACTATTTTGTAAGTAAGTATATTATTCAAATTTATTTTATGTAGGTATGTTTAGTATTCATTTGTTAAATGATTAAATTACTTATTAGGACTTTTTTTTTATTGAAGCCGAACATTTATAGAATAATATATGAAGAGAAATAAGTAAATCACGATTTATCATCAAAATTGAAAATTAGTCAACAAAATATTTACACCAATCACTACTCCAGACGTACTATTAAGTTCCTGTATTTTAAAATATAATTTGCTGGTAACTGTACGATTTTAGAAAACTCTGGTTAGCATTATTTTTAACTTGACTAATTAGTCATGGACCTCAAAATTAAGATTAAAAAAAAATTATTTTACGTAGCATACGCAAGTCGCAGAGCATAAAATATGGTGTATCAGTGAAAAGGTTAAGTATTTTTATCATTGGTATTTTTTTTTTTACCAATTGCTGAATTAGAATTACACAAACGTCTGACATCGGCTGTTAGTTATATTGGTGACTGGTGAGTTAAAAAATCTCACGGTTATAAAATTATATAGTTCCAATTATATCTCAATAATATAATAATGTACAATAATGTACAGCATTAAATAATATGCATTTTAGACTTTAGTTTTACCAGATTATTACACGGTGTGACTGTGTGGAGTATAAAAAAACAGTATTCGACTTACCTTTATCGTAGCTGCTTGGGCGCAACCCACAAATTGTTATTGACTATTAGTTAAGTATAAACTTAAAGAGTGCAACCAATATAAATAATATTAGTCTTGAGACGATATAAATCGCAGACTCTCAGAAAAATTCCTATAGTTTCTGTAATTTACTGAAGTAATCAGAATTCAGAAATCACAAATTCGTATGATAGTAGATGCTACAGATAATATTATTTTATAATCTTTTTTATCTATACCTACGACCACGGAATGACGGAATTGAGAATAGGCTATTCTGTCGTACGACTACGGAGTTATTTTTTTTGTTAAATTATTTTATCAAATTTAAATTCATAAATTCGATACATTATTATTTTACAATAATATTTTATTAATATCGACGAAAATAAGTATGCAAGAATACATCACAAGCACTTAGATAATGTATTTTTCTACCGATCATTCATCAGTCAGGTTGGCCGAGCGGTCTAAGGCGCCAGATTTAAGCTCTGGTTCCCAAACGGGAGCGTGGGTTCGAACCCCACACCTGACAAATCGTAATTTTTTGCTTTTTTATTATTTGTGTATATTAGTTGAAAGTTTTTATATTGTTGTGCCTATCAAATTCATTTTTAATTTTGTTTCAATCATAAATCAGAACAATTTCTAATAAAATGACTAATTTAATAACGATGCTAATTTTAATTTCATAAAAAATTATGATGGATGTAAGCTCAAATTATTTTTTTATTTACACTAACAACAACTTATGAGGAATCTTGCAATACATTTTCAAGTTTTTTGATTTATCGACCATAATTTAAAAAAAAAAAGAACAAAAATGTACATTTTCTTATGCGTATAAATAGTTAAAAAAGAGTCAAAATATCTTGAAAATGTCATCATGTACATAAAATGGTCATATAAACATTTGGTGAAAATGTAATGTGTCTTTATTAGCTGCATTTTTAGTTTTACACCAAAAACTAAAGTCGATTTTGTCGAAAACTAGTTTTGTGTAAAATTCTCTGTTTTTCGTTAAATTGTTTTTGTATTTCCCAACGGTTCTGAAAACTCCTAGGAATTTGCAAGTTTGTCCTCTTAAAAGTACCAATTAAATTATTCACTTCCCCACCAAAAAATACTTAAATCGTAGCACTATTTCGGCTACTAAACGTGTAAATAGGTTTTACATAAAAAATAATTTTTAAAAAAACAGACGTCATTGTAAAATCAATACATTCATTGCTCTTTTCAGAATTTAAAATTAAGCACTGATACAAATAATTTAATATGTACTTAGTACTTATATAGTTATGTACTTATATTTAAATATATAAAAGTATAATTATATGTTTGATTAAAAAAAACTTAAAATTAAATATTATATTGTACGTCAATATACGGCATAATGCTATAATATGTAAAATACATGTATCGGGTATCTTATTTCCTTGCATTTTAATTTTTCTTTTAAATACTTGCTATCATAGACTTCCCCATAGAAGTTTAGAGTTTAATTTTAAGATTTTAAAGCCATCACAAACATTTTCTAATTTTTTTTCAAGCCTAGACAGTATATAATACCTACCTATGGTTGTTGAGACATCTTTTGTTGTAATTTAATTTCTTTTTGCATTTTTATTTATAGACTAGTCTATACAATTTATTTCCCTTGGTTTGAATATAATTTTTAATTTTGCTATCTGTCGGATATGCCTTGTACAATATTGTATAAAATATGTATAGGTAAAAATGTAAAACAAGTTTAAAAAGTAGTTAAACTGATAAAATAGAATAATAGTTAATGATTAATGTAGTATTGTGATATAACTTAATGAAGGAATAATGGTTATAACTTATAACTATAAAATAAATATTTTGCTTTACAGTAGCAAAAATGTCATTTATACGAGTTACCTATACCATACCATCACAAAATTTTTTACACAAATCTAAAATGTTACTGATGGAACTTCTTTATACTACATATCACTAATTATTTTCTTTAGTTATTTAAGTAATTCTTATTTAACAATATGTGAGATTAACTCTAATTAAGCAACATATTGAATACCTACAATTCAATTAACATATTCTTATGATTTAGTTTGATTGCTATTGTTTATGATTGATGCCCGATTTATTTTAATATTATTTTTCTTTTATCTAAAATAGTAAAAGGTATTTAATTTTTCTATACCACAATTCAAATATTTTAAATTCCTTGTACAGCAAATTTTAACACTACTTATATAATTTATAGGTGTCAATATTCAATAGTATCCTTCTCAAATAATACGGTCGTCGTTATTATGTAGTTAACATGATTGTGGGTCCACACTCCACAGTTCCACATATTATACTAGAATCGTAAATAAAACTCAACTTGTCTTTCCATCTAAAATCTGAATAAAAAAATCCTATTATAAACTATCTAAATATAATATATATTGAACTAATAAATAATAAGTAATGGGCAATAATTAGGGCGTTAATGATGTACCGTGTAGGTATGTGATTAATATATTTTTTTTAAATGCTTGGAGACTTTAAGAAAGCATGGACTTATATGAGGTATATAAATATATAATATATATATAAATATATAATTATATATTATTTGTTAATACACATGAAAATCGCACACCAAAATATATTTTATACACTAGTCATTAGTCATCTGTAAAGTTAACAATTAAATCGTTATAGAGTCTATTATAGTAGGTATGCCTAGCTATTACCTACCCATAAATGGCAAATACAAAATACGTATTTACAGAAAAAAATCAGTATTAGCCAACACATAAATTTATTGTTCATTTATTAATTTAAGAATATAAAAAGTACATGATCAAGATATTTTTTATAAATATTTTCAGTTCAAATTTTGACAAAATTATAAAAATTTGCAAATTATTTTCATAACTAAGAGTTGATTTCAATACGAGGTTCCTCATAAATCATAAGTAATTCTTACTGAAACACAAACATCTAAAAATATTTTTACTTTATAAATAATGATAATAATAATTAATATATTATTCCCTATATTTTTATAGACACTTGAATTCAAGTTAACATAATACATTTAAGTTCAATTTCTGACAACAATTATTTTGTTGTTTTTCAAACATATTATTCCCAGAGACTTGAATATTCTGGCGATTTTGAAAACTATTAGGAATTTTAAATTTTTACTTCCCGAATGCACCTACTAGATTCGCTGTCCCATCGAACAAGATACAGTTTATCAGAAAATCGAAGAAGTTTTACTGCACCAAACAGTGATGACAGACCCAACAATTTAAAAATTTTAAATTTAAAATATTTTAATTTAAAAGAAATATACACATTGTAAAATTAATACGTTCATCGATCCGCTCAGAATATTATTCCATATTATTATATTCTTAGGAGGGGGGGCGGGACCAGTGGAACCCTTTCCCCCAAAAATACGCCTTTGGTTGTAGGTACCTACTTGGTTTCTATTTAAATTTATTTTATTTTTTTTTATTTCGACTTATTATTATTTATTAGACTAGATACTGTTTTTAAATTCGGTTTTTAAAGATTATTCATGATGTAGCTTTTAAATTAAAGATTTAAATGAAAAATTCAATGTAGGTTTGTAGTAGTATATAAGCATCGTATACATACAAATATACAATTATTTATTTATTTGTAATATATAACTATATAAGGCACATACAAATTATATTATTATTAATTTATTGGTTATCTATACATTCTTATACCTACCTATAGGAATTATCAGCATTTCTGTAAGTTAATGAGTACAATATAATACAATAATAAATAATATTTAAAATATGTTAATATACTACATAATTTATTGATTTTAATTCTAAACGTTCTTAACAATACATTGTTAATTGTTTAGAAAATTAGATTGTTTTTTCCTATAGTAAAGAAAAATGAAGCAATTGTAATGCAAATTAAATATGCAAAACAAAATTAATATTTATTATAATTGATTTAAATTTAAAGCTGTGTCATTTCAGACTGAGCGTTGCAGTAAATTATTTCACAATGATGATGATGTGTACGTTTTTATATTTTGTCCGTCATCGATGATTTTTACTGCTCCTACTGTAATCACCTTTTGAAACAGTAAACATTCTCCAATCTTCAACATTTTCTGGTAGAAAATATGATCTATAGAAACTATTAAAAAGTACTTAGGAAGTAAAAAGTTAAAAATTATCATTACTATTTAAAATAACCAGGAAAAACGGGACTACACATTATTATACTCACGCATAACGATTTTGTTTTTTAATGTATCTGATTCAAAAATGATCAAACATGGAAACTTGACATTTTTAACGAATATTTGTAATAGAATATTTCTAATAATAAATTGTCATATTTCAAAATATTTTGAAGTCTTTTTGTGTTATTTAATATTTATAGATATTTAAAATTGTCTAATTTTTAGATACTGAACAGATGAATGTGTTGATTTTACAATGATGTGGTTTTTTTTTGTGTGTCTGTCATACCCGTTGAGGGAGTATCACTACTATCACTGCTTTGATTTTCTTGACGGAGTATGGTCGAATTGCTCTTATTTTAGCCGAACTGCACTTGGGTTTAAAAAAGGTAATGGTCGAACTACACTCGCCACTCGGGTAAAAACTTTTTTTTCTTAACTAATTTTGATAATTTTTGTAGTAATAATATATATATTGTTATATATTATATTATTATAATTTTTTATTCTTTTTTTAAATCGTCAAATATTATTATAATAATAAACGTGAACGTCTCCGACGCTACCGAAAAAGAAACTATCTTATGGTTTTACACATGTAACGATGACTTACGGAACGTATAAAAAAAATACAAGTTTGATTTTAAACCGTCATTGGCAAATGGCAGTACAACAATAACATATATGTTATCAGATACTAATATTATAGTAAAGCCATAAAATAATTACGGGTACGGTCTGACCTGTTGGCCGAGCGATGTTGCTTAAGACATTATTTATTTGCATGTAATATCCAAACCTACGTACAATAACCTACCTAATTCGTGTTTTCCCCACCACGACGTCATTCCACATTGTCTTTCTAAAGATTCCACTTCGGTAGGACGTATCTTATAGGTACGCAGGCTCTGCATTTTCTATTGAATCGTCAGTATACTATGATGTGCAGTCGGTATGGTGGCGTCGACTTGATTACACACCTGTTGTACGACGGACTTTTGGAATTTCACGTTTTGTAATAATGTCATAAAGTGTGTCTGTGTTGCAGTTCGTATAGATATATGCGTCGCGACGTCCTCGGATACATTTGCTTTCGAAATATTAATTCGGTCATCGCTTGTATGTTACTTAAATAGCAATATTTAAAATAAAGAACTTCAAATCAGGCGGCTTATAGTAAGTCGTCACCAATAAACTGAATGTATTTTTTCTATTAATATATTTTATTACTTAATATTTACCTATTTGAAAACATTTAGGTTAGGACCTAAACCTTACTATTTATTACTATATTATATACCCATCAATATATTAATTTTGAACAAAATTCCTGTATACCCATAGGTACCTTAGCAATTCTTCAGTGTTAATAATTTATAAATTTATAGGTATTATTTTTTTTCAAGTATAATTTTAAATCATTGGAAACAATACTTCGATGGTTTTTAAATGTAATCTGTAATCAATTAATAATTACAATTAAATACATGTATAACTCAATTAATTTTGTTGATAATACATATAACTATATAAGAAAATATAGTATTGGGTATAAACTGAACAACTACAATAACACATTATAAAATATTTTATATAATGTTATCGAACATTTTAAAACAGTGTTGTTGAATTTCAAAACAAAACACTATTCTCAATTCTGGTCATTTTAATTTTTAGAATGAAATTGATAATACTTTCTACTCTTATGCATTAGGAATATCCGAATATTGTAGAATTTAAACACTTTTTTTCAAGAACTGTAAGTATCAGGTAGAGGAGTAAGATTAACTTAAAAAATTATGCTAAATTATATTATTATTTATATTATTCGTTTCAACTTTCAAACGTTGACAAGTATATCCTTATGATCACAGATAATTCTCCAGAAGGAAGCTCCGAACAAAATATATATTATATACAATATACAAACCAACTGCTATTGTAATAACGTGCCTATAAATATTACATGTATATATATATATATATTGTATCATACAATTTATTATATTTAGAAATATGAAGTGGCCAACATTGTCGATGAAATCAAATAAAAACGATTTTAGTTATGGAATCGATTCCACCATAGCACAGGTAAGTGCTATACAATAAATAAATATAACTTATAAATTACCGGTGGACGGCGGTGGTCAAGGCCGGATTAAGGGGGGTCCTTTCAAGTGCCAAAATGAAAAGGGCCCAAACAATTTTAAGCTGATACACATTTTTCAGTGATTTTAAAGAATAGTTTTTCTATATTTTAAAAACCATTTTTTTTTATCGACAAAAACAACTAAATAGTAAATACCTTTTTGTAGGAAAGGCGCATTTTACTGTTATTTAATAACTGTTAGTTAATATTTGTTGTAAATAAGTATAATGTTAATAAATTTAAAAGTTGGTATGAAAATTTGAATTTAAATTAATGAAATATGAAGTATTAACTCTTTGGAATGATGGCAGAAGCTTATATGTACATTTTGTTCATTTTTTAATTATATCATTTAAATAGTTTAGAAATCGTATATTTCATTTCTTAAAAAAATTTTTCTTCTGTCATACTTAATATGATATGTCTCTATTATGTGTGTGGTGCCATTTATATCCAAAGACCAAAACTGATAAGTCATTAGGTATTTGAAAATATATGTAGCGGCAAAACTAAGTTTGTAAAATATCAGCTTCTGCCGTCTTTACTTTTATTATATTACAATTAGTGAATAGTGGTTGTGGGTGCGACTCGTTTGCGCACATTTACCTTTTTTACGGCACGTTTGCGCACAAAATCACAACTCGTTTGCGCACACATATTTTAGGTTTAAATGATAAAGGTACAACTCGTTTGCGCACATTTCCCTTCTCACTTAAATATAGGCTTAGGACTATCTGTTTTTTACAGGCGTGATTAAAAATGTGCATAACGTGTGTGTTTGTTCTGAATAAATATATAATTATACTATTAGTAAGAAGTAATAATAGTAGTCTATTAGTTGTAAAATTAAACTATTAATAAATTGTAATAGTCGTCTATTAATTATAAAATTATACTAATTTTGAATGGTAAAAAAAATGGTAAAATGGTAAAATTATACTAATTTTGAATGGTGGTAATTAAGTCCGATTTTCTTTATATAAGTTAAGCGATCAATAATTTTATTTTTATATTCATTTCAAATATTTTCCAATTGCATTTCCTTATTAATTATCTCTTTTCTTTTGAAGTTTATGATTTTATTGTTTATCGAATTAATTTTTAAATCAGTTTCACTTTGAATTCCAATAATGACGTCGATTACTTGATGTATGTGTGGTGTGGATGAGCAGTGTAAAATTGACTGTTATAATGTTTGTGATAACTTTCTGCACCATTAGTAGTCTTAGGATTATTAACAGGTTCACAAGCCCATAATGTTGGATGAAAATTGCTATCTGATGTTATGTAATTTTCTAAAATATAATCGGAAAATATAGAAGTGGTAGAAGTGGTACTTGGTGCTATTGACATAAGATCACAAAATCCTTCAGAAACTTCTTCAGGGGGTAAATAACTTAATCCAAAAAAATATTTCATTCATTTGCCAATTTCAGAGTCATTGTTTAAGTACTCGCTCGATAATATTTTGTGTTGTTGAATATGTCTAAACCAATTTTGTCCTAAATGAAAGTTACAACATGCAATTTTGCAGTTAGGAAAAACTTGTAATACTGCATTATGCGCAGCTTTTTCAAAGTCTACATGAAAATTGCTTAAATGTATTATATTACCAGTAATTTGAATACATATATTTTGTAACGTATTCCACATATTGATGTAAGTATCAGTATGTTTGTTACTTAAAAAACAAAACGCCACAGGAACATAAAAATTGTTTGTATATACGTGAATAGTATAAAGTTGAACAAAATATTTCGGAGCGAATGAAAACGTCCCATCCCCAAAAACGTGTTCTGCACTTTGTAGCAATTCCAAATTTTTTTTACATGTAAATATAAATACATTTTCATCATCACTAACAAAACAAAATTTATTACCTTTGTAAGTAAGATTATGCTGAACATCAATTAATTGTTTTTTAGCATCTTCTAAAGATTTCGGTATGTTTGGAAAGGATTTTTTTCGTTTTTCATATATGGATCTTCGAATTAATTTCATATCGCTATATCGAAGATGTTCGGAATTATCAGTGTTTTGCAGTTCCCGGCGTATAAGTTTATTTGGTTTAATGAATAAATCCTCTTCAGCTCTACGTTTTAAATTGCTTCTTACTACTTCTCGATGAATAGTTATAGTACCGCTTTCTAGCGAACGACTGTTTAAAAATATTATGTTTAATACACGTCGATTATTTTCAACGATTATTTCCGATGATAATGACTGATGATATATATTATATTGATTATTGATATGCTGGTAATTTGTACTGATAATTTGTAACGATAATCAATTACTTTAGGTAAGTCCAAATTTAAAAATATAAAATATATGTTACGCACTATTTATGTTGTGCGCAAACGAGTCGTCCGATTTCAGGTTAACGACGATATTCGTTGTGCGCAAACGAGTCCTCGATATCTAGGTAAACAATTTGGATTGTGCGCAAACGAGTTGCACCGAGTGGTTGTATACTTTATAGATATATAAATTACATATACTTACCTATTCATTTTATAATTTTATAATGCTATTGCCATTTGTGAAATAGTTAGAAAAATGTATCTTCCTGCGGGCGTAGCCAGTTTGTTTTAAAGCGTGCCTTGTCAAAAGGGCCCATATGAAATTTCAAGCCCGGGGCCCAATAGGTTCTTAATCCGGCCTTGCAGGTGGTCACGTATTGAGATGATATAATTATATGAATATATTTTATACGTGGTTACCTTTATGTAAGGTATACAAAAATCGATCGAGATAATTCGCAGAGGTGTATTATTGGAGCGTATACGGTAGTATAAGGGATAAGGGGTATATTCATAACAATATTTATAAAGAAATGCGTACCTATATGATGCATAAAATAAATGTATATTTGAATACAGTTATTATCAATGTTGATTGCATCATTGTTTCGGGATTAGATAAAAGTTCAAAAAATGTAATAAAGAAATGCGTAGATAGGTATGCTTAAAAAATATATATTAATTTTATAAATATATATGCCATATGGGCATACCTACTAAATACGGTGAATGGCAATGGGCAATGAGTATATTATTTTATTATGTCACCAATCACCAACCATCACACCAGTCGAGAACCATACAATGTAATCATAAATATAGCTAATGAGTAAATATATCATAATGTATAGATCATAATAATATTATAAGGTTTATAAATTGTATATTATTCGTGTTGTAGATTCTGAGCTCAACGATGAATGTATTGATTTTACAATGATATGTGATAATGTTCGATGATGTTTTTTTTTAAATGTTTAACATTTTTTATTTGTGTCTGTCATTGCCTTTTACCACAGTAAAAATGCTTAGATTTCCTTCAACATCATCTTTTCTGATATTAAAGTGCATCTAATTGGTACTTTGGGGGTTAAAAGTAAAAAATTATACTTGAGTATACTCAAAACATTATTTATCAATACGTCCCTAATTATTCGTAGATCACTCTTATTAGCAAATTAGAGCCACGTCGTTGATGTTTTGTTATTTTTTCATGTGCCTAGATCTTGGCTTTGACGACGAACTATCTGTTCAGCATGAAAGTTGGAATCGACATGATGACACCGACGATAATCATTGGTGCCATTACCGACAAAGAAAGTAACACCAGCTATAACCCTCTCCCCCACATATCCGAAGAACAGACTTCCTGGATAGGTGAGTCTACATTGGTGAAAATCAGGGGGGGCGGCATGAGGCCCGATGAGGGCCTCCCCCCAAAGCAAGTCAAGCCCTCTCCTTTTTTAGTTGTGTTGGATCGAAGCCCCCCACTCACATTGATGTTAATAATGTTAGCTCCCCCCCCCCGAAATTTTAATGAATTTTAAATTTGGGTGGATTTATACAATCTCCATTGCAGTCATAAATTATCATATGAATGATATAATATTAATATTTTTGTAGAAATTTGAAGTACAGTGGAACCTCGATAAGTCGAACCTCGATAAGTCGAAAACCTTGATAAGTCGAAAAAAATTTCATCCCCTTGCGAAAACCTCGATTACTCGAAAAAAAAACTATAGATAACTCGAACATTCTGTGCTCCGAATATGACGGATAATGGCAGATAATTTTATAAACATTTATCTAATCGGCTTGTCCGTTCCGATAATTTTATCTATTCATTGTTTCAATGAAGCAAGCAACAGCAGCCCTCATATTGCTAAGGACATTCACAGAACAATTGAGTAATGTGGACGATGAAGTGTACTCTGCTTTAAATGTAATAGAAAATACAATTGATAATAGTAAATATCAAATTTTAAGTCAAAGTAAAATAATAAATTATCTTTTATAAAGTATTATATTTTTTTGTAATAATTTTTTTATTTAAATAATCTGTATAATCACATTTTTTTACATTGTATATACATAATATATACTAAGTACATAATAATTAAAAACTTTAATACATTCATACATTTTTAAAACTCTTTAAGTCGAATTTTTTTTCTAAAACCTTGATAACTCGAAAACCTTAGTAAGTTGAAAACCTTGATAAGTCGAAAAAATTGCATTTCCCTTGAATTTCGACTTATCGAGGTTCCACTGTATAATATATTATTTTGATTATTGATATAGTAAATTTAATTTTTGCATAAATACGGTCGTGGGAGGGGGTTAAAATACAATAAGCTTCCACCAGTTCCACCTACTTAGTTACACAGTCAATTATAAAGATGTAGATACAGATAGAGTATTACGGTGCAATAAATAATATACAATTTAAATAAATCCCACGCACATGGCGTTGTAATTCAAAAAACATTATTTAAATCTCGCTGCAGGTCACACGACTTGCACTAGTTTGCACTATTTATGTATTATATTATTTATATTAAAATAGGACAAAATATTATTATGCAAGGGTTTCTTGCAGTAAAAAAAATATAGAGAGAACTGAGAGAGGCCGCAGTAAAGGTTACTTCACAGTGGCTCACATTGCACTGTGAACTGTGATTTTCGGGAAAAAAATATTCAGCACTGACTGAATCTATCGATTAGAAATAGTGGTATACCACAGCTAGTGTTACCATTGTAATAAGTATTAATATTTATAGTATTTCATATACCAGAGAGTAGAATTCAATACTATTCATGGTATTTATCATACATGTTATACCAGTTAGCACTGACCATGATGTAATTATGTACATATTAATACACGCTAGAATCACTTCATCACATTAAAAACTAAAATAAATCAAAAAAGGATTTTATTTATCGCAGTGCAGTGTGAAGTCGCCTTGAATGTACCTTAAAGGATTGTGCAAACCTTAGTTCTCCCGACCATGTAATGTATGTCTTTAAAACTCAAAAACTAGTTGCCGAAAAGTTTACTATTTTTTGGGAAAACAGATACTTAACTTGATGCCCAATGATATGGTTATTTTACCGTTACCCATATTAAAAAAAAAATTAACCACTGGTTACGATATGAATATGTGTGTAAAACTTAAAATTGTATGTAACATTCTAATTCACCAATTATTTTAGTGATTTAATGTGATTTATTTATGAAAAACTCCTTATCTGTATTTTAAAAATGTAACATGTACCTTAAAACAATAATAATTATTTGTAATCTAAGATAACCCATGGGCCTCCACACGAGTTTTTTCTCAGTGAGGCCCATTAATCTGTCGATATTAATTTAAATAAAAAAAATAAAAAATGTCTAACCCTGCAACTTAACCGGGCGCAGGAAGTCTCATCTACCTATTCCCGCCGGTTGGCAGCGTGGTCGTGTCCTTTGTGCAAGACCGTTTCGGCCACCGGGTGTGCATGATGGTGACCAACGTCACTCACCTGCTGTCCGTGGCCACGTTGATGTTGTCCGACGGCCCGTCCGGGCTGTACGCCAGCTCGGCACTGATGGGCTTCAACGTGGGTTTCGTGACCAGCTTCTCGCTGTCGTACTGCGGAGAGGTGTGTGAGCCCAAGCTCCGCGGCACGCTCACCGCCGTGCTCAACCTGTTCTACTTCGCCGGTTACCTGTGCGTGACCATGCTGTACGCGGTCACCGCCGACTGGCGACTGTCCGTGCTGTTCACCGCGATATTGTCGGTCGTCAATGCTGCGATCCTGTTCAAGGTATACGTAATAAATAATAATATATTATGAATCAACTTGAAAGAGTCCAACGGAAGTTTTTGAGTTTTGCAGCATATCTATTAAATATTGAACATAGACCTCATGATTATGATGCAGTAATATAGATAGGCTAGGCTTACAGTCTTTGGCCGATAGACGTATCACCATTAACAAGGTGTTCGTAGTCAAACTCGATCGACTGTCCTGAACTTCTATCTAAAGTAAACTTTAAAATTCCCTGTGTCCAGGTCCGTCCTTCCTATCCTTTCAGTATACCACTGTGTACGACAAATTATTCACGAAACAAACCACTAAATAGGATGATGCGTTTGCTAATTGTGATCCGTCTTTTAGTTTTTAAGTTAAGTTCTGTAATTCTTTTCTTTTGTCTTCTTTCCTTTCTCTATTTTAATTATTATGTCTACTACACATTTCTGTATTCACTTATAATATGTAAATTTATTTTCTGTACTTTTGGATTGCGGCCCGTATTAAAATAAAACAAACAAACAAATATTGGTACACCTATTAATATTTTTGCGGTTTTGACGATTGGTCGCCCGACACCGACGATTTATTTTAAGTACATTTTTCCAAAATATATTAGATATTATATTCGTTCAAAATTAATTCCAGCCATTGCGGTGCGATCGCTCGTTCGTTTTTCCCATTTTGTCGATGCGATCACGAGATCTCGAGTCTTGACAACCGCGGAACTCAAAATTTCGATCGACGGACCAATGGATTTTTGATTCTCAGTGGAGCCATGAATGTATTGGTCTTACAATTATTATGTGTGTGTTCTAGCTTTCACAAAAATAAAAAAATTATTTTGTAGTAAAAAATGTACCTACCTATAGGTAATCTGGAATCAAATAATCAAAATGTATTTATACAATTTATTTTGTTTGCATAGATGTTCAAATGTGGATGAAATTAAGTATTTAAACGAAGAATAAAGATTTTGGTTATTCTGATGTAATTCATAGGTAATAGGTATAATATTTTTCACGGACATTTGAAACTTTCACGTATATTCTTATATTTTAAATTTTAATACATTTTCTATGCACAATGACACATTTTTGAAAACATCCAGATTAATTATATGCCATTGTCCATATTTTATACTTTCCAGTTTCCACCGTATTACTAATACTATAGCTATAATATGATTATATATTATATTGAGCTATTAAGGCTGACAGACCTTTTCCACTAAGAATCGTTTTACTACGTATAATATTATAATGACTTATCTATCATTCAAATTTAACACATCTATAATAAAGTGTGTCCTGCTTATTGGTGAGGTACACTCAACACCAGCAGAGCGGTAATCTACTTGACGGCTTTTATTTTTGATATTAAATATAATAGTTAACCTGTACAAATACCTTTAACTATTTTGTGATAATCGCGTTTGCCCTCCGAAACAGCGTCATTGAAATTGAACAATAATATACAATAATTTGTTTAAAAAAATATGAAATGTCGAATTAAAATAATATTTCAATACGATTTCAGACCCCAGATTCACCAATGTGGTTGATGTCCCGTGGTAGAACGGATGAGGCGAAGAGCACATTTAACAAACTTCGAGGTGGCGTTGGCGAGGACAAATTCGCTGTGGAATATCGAGACATGGTCCATTATACATCCCAAATTAATCTACCAACTGATGGTTAATATTTATTTTATTAGTACAGTCAAATGTTTGCTCTTCAAGAGAACATTTTAAAATTAAGAAACTTTGCTGATGCATAAAATGTTTTTCAGTTTTAATCTGTTGCCCATTTCCCTTTGATCAGTCGCGTTGTGCCTACACATTATTTAAATTTTTAATCAATGGTCATATGTAAATGTTTAGTTGGACACAATCTATTATAATACTACTAACATATTACATATATTTTCAAAATGTGCAAATAATTTTCAGGAGAAAAAAAGAAAATGTCTTCTATCAAAGATTCACTGTACCGCTTCATTGAACCCGAAACGTTGAAACCTTTGCAACTGCTCATGATAATGATTTTCTTCACCAATCTGTTGTCCGGTATACCATACATACCGTATCTGATATCCGTATTTGACAAATTCCAAGTGTCTTTCCATCCAGCTTGGGCAACGGTTGGTTAATAATATATACTTTTTTAAATCATGTTCATCTATGTATAATGTATATGACGTGTTTATGAACTATATTGTCTATATTATATTTCCAATAGACTAATTTAGTGGCTAGACTGCAGGCGAAAACCTGAATGTACAAAAAGTCTACGATGTCGGGTTTTTAAAAGGTGGGGCGCCATTAGTTAAAAATAAAAGGGGGAATGACAAACTCCCTTGAAGCCTAGGTAGTTAGGTATGATGTAGTAAAACACAGGTCTTTGCTTCTACAAAAATAAAAAAATTATAATAATAACAAGGTGAGGTTAATAAATCAAGCTTTCACAATATTCACACATAATAATATTATTTAATATAGGTATTGTAGTAAGCGAGTTACTACGCAACATTTAAATTTCGTCAGGAAACATATTTAATATATTATACTGTAAATAGGTAATGGTCAGATATATCAAAATAGAAACTATAGTTAACCTTTTTTGGTTGTAATTAATCAAAGGAACCATAGGGAGTATAACGCCAAAAACAAACGCATAAACAAATTCGCAATTAATAAATGTAAGGCTCAAGGAGAAACGATATTCAAATAGTACCACAGTAGATTAGCATGATTTTGCAGTCATGTCGAATAGGCGGATGTGATAAATGCGATAGCGTTAGATGAGAGAATTGCAATATAAAAAATAGTATGATTTATAATAAAATTGACAGTCACAAATTATCTGACAGTACATCATAATAATACGCAGTATGGATTAGTAATTTCGCAAGTGCGTGGGTTAGGTCGATGGCCACATAGGCCACATCCGTTAGAGTCAAGATACGATATCAATAGGCAAGGGGAGCGGGGACCGAACTATAAGAGGGACCCCGAAACGGTCTGTATTCAGACGTGTACACTCAATACTACTGCAAGCACCTTCACGCAGCTCCGTATAACGATTGTCATTTGGACTTAGCATCATTGTGATTGTCGGAACTAATAAACAGCAATATACTTTTGGCATTTGTGTTATAATTATTCAACGACTACCTCAACTTCACAGTAAAAGGTTTAGCTGCCTGCAACTGTTAATATACTAGTAGCTGTTAGAGCTACCAGAATACTACAGTATACCTAAGTTCAAATATAATAAACTTTAAATATTTTTTTTTGCATATTAGTTGAGAACATTAAGAGGAGGGTCATCAATCCTCATTCTAGTCGTTATCTGCTATTCTCATTAGACTGGTATTTGGGAGTGAGGTGGTAGAAACTAGGGAATAAACGTTTTTTAGAGTAAAAAATAGATCTTGGCATCTTAGTAAATCGAAAAAGGAACGTTAATGACTATTGAATTGATCAACAACATTAATAAATAATATAAATAATAACAATAACGAGTGTGTGTGTATATTTACTGTATAGACGATGTACATGGCTTTCAACGTCGCGGGAAACGTGCTGACCATATGCTCCATAAACAAATTGGGAAAGAGATTTTTGGCTTTGTGCACAATGGCTACTTGTTCAGTTTGTTACCTGTCCATTGGGATCGTCGGAAACGTATTGCCATCGTCTCCAGTTACGTCGTGGATAAAAATCGTGTTGTTCTTCATGTCGACTTTTTTTTCGTCGATGGGAATAATGCCTATAGTGTGGATTCTCATGTGTGAAATTTTCCCAATGAAGTAAATACACGACGTCCTTTACATGATAACTATAATTTAGACACTTTTAATATCACATTATTATAATATTATAATTCATATAATATATCTAAAAAAAAAAGTACAAAAAATTATGAAAGGTCTCTAAACAAATATATTACAGTGAGTTCCTCTTAATGTGATCGACGTTGGTGCAGTCCATTTTATTCTAATAAATAATTGTTTAAAAAAAAACATCTGCTTTTAATTAAGTTAACTTACAAATTTAATAAAAAAAAAATAAAACACGTATAGGTGTATATTATTGAAAAAAAAAACGAAGAAAAACCAATATATGTACAGTGGCCAGTGGTTAATTAGATACTTGCTAAGTGTGTCGTGTAATTTATTTATTTTATTATTAGACTATAATTGCATAATAAAGGGCTGTTATAGTTTTATGAATTATGATTAAAATCAGCTTTGATTTTGACTACTAATCTATTAAAGCGATTCAATCCGCTATAGATGCCTAGCCCCTAAAGATGTATATTATTATGGTTTATTTTTGAATTCGATATAAACGATCGATTCTAAAAATCTGGGATATCGGTAACTACCTATATGGAACTCACTGTAGTGCATATTTTTTTTATACCTACGAATATAATAAATAATGATACAACACTTACAATAACCTTATACGAGTTTTCTCTTTGTCTTGTCATATTCCAGAAGTAAAAACGTCGGCGCCGGTCTTAGTTCAGCGACATACTTCATCTTGAGTTTCCTGATGACCAAGTTCTATTTGGATCTCGAAATGTTTACGGGTTTCTATAACACTTTCGTTTTGTTCGGGTCCATAGGCCTCATCGGTCTGGTGTATTTGCACTTTCAGCTCCCGGAAACCGAGAACAAGACGCTAAACGAGATTTCAGAACACTTCAAATGCAAAAACACGAAAGCCGATGTGCAAGCTGGTTTGGCTTAAATTACAATATTAATATCTATTAAACTATCATTGTTTTTATTATCTACCTATATAGCATATAATTCATTGTTGATTTTAAACACAAATTTTAAGTCTTATAAATTATAATGTATAATGCATACATAGGCGTGCGTACTGGTAGGGCTGATTGGACTTTAGCCCTATCTGAGATATTTTTGTACGTAGGGGGTTGGTACCTTATGAAGACGAGGTTATATACCTACTTTAAAGTAGGTATATAACCCTTTTTTTGTGTTTACCCGAGAGTATATACAAAAGGCGATTTATTTAAAATTGAACACTCATTATTTCAAAAAGTGTAATTGTTTTTAATTGAGTTTTAATTTCATATTCCAAAGTAGAATATTTTTCTAAGTATTTCGATACATAAAGATCGAATTTAGTGCAAGTAGTCTATGCGTTATAAGTATTTAAAGTTTAGATGAGCGGAGTTGAGTGGTACGGGGTTACCCCGAGCAATGTGTGTCCACTACTCCGCTCATCTAAATTTTAATATTTAGGTATATCTCATAAACCAATAGCCCTAAAGTCGATTTACCATGAATAATTTTTAATAATAAATAAATATCTATTAATGTTTATGTTAATTGACAATTTTTAATATTATATACTATATTTTTGAACGTTTTTGAATAAATTGTTTTATTATAATATATTTGGTTAAAATTTAAATCAATATTGATGAATTTTTTATGTGTGAAATAATGAAAACTGATTGTTTACATTTTCCAGTAACCAAGAAAAGGGTCACTTAACAGATTGTAGTGAAAATGTCTATAATGTTTTTCTTGTGTGACCATGACAAGGGGCAGGGTGATCAGATTGAATTTCCTGACTTAGAGGTATGCACACGCCTATGAATGCATAATATAATTGGTTTAGTGTTTACCTTTACGGCTTTACCGTATACATTTGTGCGTTCTCATATTGTTCTTAGTTTAGTTTTTATTTTTATTCTAGGTACTTATGTCTTATATAATTTGAATGTTTTCCTACCAATTGTAACTGTAAACTGTAGTAATAGGATTCATAAAAAAATTTCACTTATAATATCATGGGTGATGGGTGTTGGGTGTTACGTACGAATCGCGGACATTCCCCCCCTCTGACTGTTTTTGGTGTAATATGACATTTCCCCCCCCGATATATTTTTGATGCTGACACCCCATTTTGTTTAAAGTTTGCTATTTAATAATATTATTTTATTATTTTGCCTATTGTTTAATATTTAAAATATTTTCATATATTTTCATAAATATAATAAATTATAAATGTATATTTTTGATTGACTGAACAAAAAAAAAAAATAATAATAAGTGTTTAGAAATAACAAAAGAATCAGTATTCAGTAGTCAAATGTTTTTTACAAAATATATCATTTTTATGTCTGAATTTTTAGCCATTATTATTAATTATTAATTATTTTTTATTTTATAATTATTTTTTTTTTAATTTTTATTGTTTTAAGTACCTAGTTCAGTGGATCAAACAAATACATTTATAATCTATTATATATTTATGAAAATACAAAAATGTTTATATATTTCATATTTTATTTAAAAAAAAAAAATAATATTGTATTATTAAATTCAATATTGTTAGTCAATAATAAACTTAAAAAAATTGGGGAAAAATGTCCTCATCAAAAAGATATCGGGAGGAAAATGTCCTACTAGACCGAAAACAGTCGGAGAGAAATCTCCATTTACCGTTACAAACCCACATTGTTGCATCACAGATAATATAGGTACTCCTGAATCCTGATATCAGAATTCTTCATAATTAACAATCCCTTTCCATTTTAATATTTTACCTATCATAAATAATTTATTATAAATGTTGATCGCTCAATTTACATTTTTCATTGTAACACCTAGGTACCTACAAATGTAGTACCATAGTGGCGTAGTTCTGGGTTGTATGATGTATTCTATATTTCTATGAGTGCACAATATTATCAACCTGTTATACATACCGATAGACTGTGCAATTTTTTTCTATTTTCTATTTTATGCATTATATATTATAATTTATTTATATTATTATATTAATAATAAAAGTATTTTTTTTTTTACAAATCTTTATTCTTTTAACACTTAAATCTGTTTGCATTGTTATCGGAACTGTTGTTATGATATGTTGAATAATATATAGTTAATCTCATATTATATTGTTAAACAATAACTACCTACGATTCCAATAACATTTTAGTTTTGTGAATGTTGACTAGGTATTTGAGTACCTAGTGGAATTGTTATACTCTGAACATTTAAAAATAACCAAATCTCTCAAATAAATTATAGTATTTTATTAAAACATGTTTATAAAATTTACAATTATATTTTAATCTAATAATTTATTGAACAATAACATAAAAAAAAATGGTTATACACAAAAACCTTGCAATCATTAAATATGAAGTGGCAAATCATTAAACGTAAAGTAAAACATAAAAAAAAAACATTTCATTTAAACTTCTAAAAAATAATTCAACTATATTTGACTTTAAATATAATTTTAAACAAAACAATAAAATAAAAATAAATTTGTCTTTTGAAACATATAACAAAAATTAAAAATTAAAATTCATACCAATTATACAATGTGTTATTGTAAATATTTAACATTTTAATAAAACATACAAGCATATAAAAATATAAAAGTTAAGATTGTTAACAATTAAATACCATTTTGAATAAAAAAACAGATCACAAACAATAATAATTCAACTTAAAAAATGCATATCTAATATGAAGATTCTATTGAATAATACTGAGTGTTAGCTAGTTAAAGTTTCTAGGAATTCTATGGACTTTATATTTTAAAGTATCAGCAAACATCATTGTTCTGTCAATTTGATGTTTCACAAACATTTGATTACCAATAATTAACAATGTACATTCTAAGTATTTATTGATGGACATTCCAAGTAAACTCTGAGCAACTAAAGAATGGACAAAACCTAGTTTTTCCAGCAGTTGATTTAACAATTTCTCCATGACAAGGACGATGTCTTGTTGTAACTGATCGCCAACAACACAGTTCTTGTTCGGTATGGGGTAATGTAATATGTCTCGCATGTATGACACGAGCTCACACAGTTCATTTGGAGTAACTTCCAAATCCAATTTCTATAATCAAAAGTAATTTATTAGTTGTTTTATTCATAAGTTATAATAATATATTCAAAATTACCAATAATAAGTCATATAACTTTTGTGGACGATCCCTCAACGTCTTTGTCGATATGCACATCTTTTTTTGTGCACCTTTTGTAATAAAGTTTCTGTTTACTTTAGCTATAAAACCATCAATGTTGTCCTCGTCGATGAATACAATTTCAAGATAATTGAGGCTATTGAAGAACCACTGGTATTTATGGAGTTTCAAATAATGAAGCCACTTAGCAACTGCTCCATCCATTCCTTGATCAACAATCGTCAGGGTGTTAAGTGTCTGTGAGTTTCTCACAGTAGTAGCACTGTTTACACTTGCAATCATTTCCAGATGATCATACCCGTAACAATCGACTAAAAACAAACAAAGTGTAAATAGTTAAATATTATTTTCATATAAATTGTAACTTTATCAATGTTTAATTCTTACTGCTAAAGTGTGGTTGACCACGGGCAGCTTCTGAATTGGTTGGTTGCAGCATATTTTGCCAAACAGGGGTATGCTGTTGTTGAGCAGATTTAAAATTAAATCGCTGGAAAGGGTCTATTTGTGGAGGTCTGAAATTGTTTCTCCAAATGTTTTCTGTCTTGGTTTCTTTTGGCATATGGCGTTGAGTGCTGCTCAACTGGTTTACTTGGCCAATGAGTTCTTTCAATGTCCTAAAAGAAGGTCAACAATTTATAAGTAAGCTAAAAGATTTGTCATTTGAAAAATATTACATTTTTTACTCACTCATTAAATATTTTCAAGTTCGATGATTTTCTAATTAAATGGCATATTTTTACTGCTGCTTCAATGTTGGTACCATTTTTAATTGTTTGGTTTAACATAGCGCTTAAACTGTACATTAACTCCTCTTTGGCCATGATGTTCTTATTTTTCACCATCATCAATGATTCATGAAGCTTGACATACGGATTTTGTTCTGAATTACTTAACCATTTAGCAATTCTATTCGGATCATTAGATTCCAGTTCTCTTCTTTTTATCTCTCTATACAACATTACGTATATATCAGGATAGTCAAATGACAGATGATCGAGTGATTTGCTCAGACATTCTTGTTTCTCTTTGAATGATCTATACTGCATTAATGTCGTAGCTAGTTGTTTCATTTCGTCCACTAGACAAAAGTAACATTTAGAATTAAAAATATATTTAATGGATATTAATCATATATCCTGGGCCTCACACGAAACTTCTCGGTGGGTCCCAGTATTTATTCATAAATATATATATATGAACTAAATAAATAAATAGGTAATTTTGATGTATAATTATCTCTTAATAATTTTTGTTTTTTTGGATTTTTCTATAGTAATCGATAGTTAACCGATAGTTAAAGGATATTGAACTAAATTAAACTAAACTAAATTTTTTGTTAACGCTAATCTGGATAAAAAAGCTATAAACAGCTTAAAAACTAAGATATCTTAATAGATATCAGATTCATTATTTTTATTTAATAAAATATAAAATTTAGGGCAGTTATAAATGAATGGGAATTTGTTAAAAGGGACCCAAGTTACATTTTTGACAAAAATAATTTTGTTGTATATTATTTATCCTCTTATGTAAACACATATATTATAAGCTTATAATTTGTAAATCAAAGGCTGGATTCAATAAAATTAGGTATTAAAGTTTTTCTTTTTTTTAATTTTAATAAAAAATATTGTTTTTTTAAGATTGTTATTCATTTGTTTATATTCAAAGTTTGTTATTTAGTTGCATTGTTATCTATTTGATTGGATAAAATGAATAAGAAGGTATCACCTATATTATTATATTATATTTTTAGTCGACGCGCGGGTGTTCCCGGTGGACCAAAAATTATAATACGGAATTTTAGGTACGTAAATGTAAGCCCAGAGTACCACATGACGTCTCTGATTTCAGTCATTAGTGAGTAAAATTAAATCTATATTATTATACTCATGTATTTTTAAGTTCCTTGGGCAAACGGATTATATTAATTTATATTCAATTTCGTTACATTATTATTACCTACCTACCTAATCATTATATAAGTACACAAAAATATAAGTATAATAAATTATTTTAATAAATATAGGTATTTATTTTGTATTTAAAAGAACTATTTTGTTCTATAAATGTTTTAAATAACAATGATTGATTGTTCAATACTAGTTGTTAGTACTAGTTCATTGTTCAATAAATAATTAATAAGGAATTACCTATATAGGTGTAATATTGAAATGTTTTAATATGTAATAATAAATCTTAATTTGGAAGTATTTTAATATTTAGTGATTTATGACTTATCGACTTTTACACTTAGGTATATAATTATAAGATAATTAACACTTACTTGTCGAATATTTGTCTTGAAGGTATTCAGATTTTAAATGGACGTCACGGCGTTTGATAGTGAACTACTGTCGGTTATTTAAAACCAAATGACCGAAGAATCGTAAGATCTTTTGAAAAATACGACGGCTACATAAATCAACTCCAACGTCAGAACACGGTTTGTTGGGTGATCGTTAGGTCCGGCTAGTCCACAGGTTATTTTTCTCAAATACTCCCTCTTCAAACCCCACTTCTGAATACGTGGTAGGTAGGTAGGTACGTTGACTGTCCAATGGTGCCGTACGTCTGCATCCCTTTTCTACGGAGCTAGATAGCCTATAATGTATGTACAATAACTGTATTTATATTTGTGTGTGTGTGTGTGTGTGTGTGTGTGTGTGTGTGTGTGTGTGTGTCGTGTGTGTGTTAACACAATTGTTTTTAAAATTTAATTTTAAAGCAAGTTATGTGTATTTTAAAATTGTAAGCTGTTTGTACATCTTAAAATACTCATAACTCGCTTTGAAATTAAAATATAATAAAAAGCCTATGGCATTGTCTAGATAATAATCTTACCTTTAAATTTTAAAAGAGGTCAATTCGCTCTAATCTTTTAACTAACGGGAGATAAACGTGTTTTGCTGAGCGTAAAATTTGCCATGTTACGCACTTGTAAGACAGAGAAAACAAATGTAATTGTAACGGCCCCTTAAAGATATCGGTGATTTTATTTATTTAATTTTTTCCAATATCAATGGTTTTATGTATTTATATTGTTGTGTTTATAATATATTAATATATTATACATCATACATGTTATGAATTTTAATGACAGTATCTCGTGCCTTACAAAATATGTTCTCCTACGCTTTTTATGGTCCTATCCTTTATGTATAGTTTTTACATTTTAGGAACTAATAACATTTTTTAAATTACATGTTGGACTGTTGGAGCACTAACACTTAAATAATAAATGTCTTCGTTAGTTAATTCGTCAGGTGGTGACTATCATAGTATACACCTACCTTCTTAATTTTATACTTATATATGCAAGGCTCGGAACTTTTGGCATTTGCATACTTGTTTAGAAAGTGCATATTGAAATTCCAATTCCATATAAATTCGATCCATATAGTACGTATAATTCAAATACAAATTTTTTGTTGTATAATTTTGAATATTTCGTTATTTTTTGTACGTTTTCGCATATTCTAATTTCTAGGTTTCAGAATATTTATAATTTATATGCATATTCCATGGATTTAACGGGAACAAATTTTTTTTTTAGATATTGATAGTTTAACAAAATAATATTCATTAATTCATTCATCAACGGCTATTTTTGTAATGCTCATTTGTCGGATGCGGTGCCCTGTATGGAAAATCACTTAGTCCTTTATACATAAAGGAGATTCAAGTGACATGCGTTACGCACTTACGCGTGGTCTCCAAAATTGAAATTGGATAACTAGAAGTATGTTTTTTTGACAGATTATTAGCATTATTCATAGTCGCGGGTGTACAAAAATATTTTTCGAGACTACTTACATTGACATGTGCATGCGCGTACGTGTGCTATGGCACATAGTCGCTCCGTTCGCCCGCAGCCAGGTGATATGAAATCTATTGTTATCGAGTTCGAATTTCTTCAAAATTATAATTTTATATTTTCAAGTCAAATTACTGACGTTTAGCCCCTGCCTTTTCGTTCATTTAAAAAAAAATGAGTTCACGGACGTTTTGTCCCCGTCTATTATTAAGATAGGACATTTAGTCCCCGGGAGTTCATATTATCGTCGTTGTGTCGTCGTCGTCGTCGTCGTCGAACAACTCAAACAAAATTGGTAATAATTTGAAAAAAAGTTATTAGTTTTAATAATACTAATAATAATACAATATTTATTAAATAAATGAATATATGTAAAACCCCAAAGGGTAAGAGTACACTGTACAGTATTGAAAGACTGAAATTATCGTTAATTTAACACATGGAGACAATAGTTGAAATAACTGAGACTAAATTAAACAATAAACATCAATATTCAAATTATAAATGAAAGTTTTTAGCTTAGAGCCGGAATCGAAAAAAAATCAAAATTAGAAATTTTATTACAAGTTGTTGGTAGGCCATCCCCACATATTAATATAAATTATATTGAAATTTTACGTTTTTTAAAAATAATTTTAAATGAAAAAAAGCCATTTAAATGTAGTGATTTAAAATACCGGGGACTAAACATACTATGGGTAGATAAATAACATCACGTAACTCCCAGGGGCCAGATGTCCTATCTTAATAATAGACGCTTACGAAACGTCCATGGACTCACTTTTTTGACGGGGACGAAACGTCCTTTTACCTTTCAAGTCATATAGAACCGTGCTCACACTAATAATCATTTACGACTAACACAAAGATTACTGGCGGCGACAACAATATTAGAAATTGCCTAAATTTTCCCCCCTTAAATAATAGCCACACTAAAGACTAAAGAGATATCGGAGGGCTTGTGTCTTGTGAAACGTAAGTTTTGTATTTAACTTCCCATTTTCAGGATGACTAGTATACCTACTTATAAATAAACACATCCAATCGTTTTGATATAAGATGAAATATTTTGGTTTTATCATTTTTAAATAGGTATAATATGTTTTATATACAACATATTGTACAATTCAAATGTATTTTTAGAAATAATTTAATTTCCAATATAGTCACCAACATAATTTATAATGGGGTAGTAAATTGTTATATTTATTTTATTGTAGGTAACAGGTAGTGTGAGATCAAAGGACCCGCCGCCGTCCTTCATCGTAACATAGGAACCTACTTCAGTCTATGCCTTTTGTGTTGTCAATCTATAATCTATTGGACGTCGGGTGGCATATAATTAATGATATTTGATTTAGAAAAACCTCAGTATTGAATATTGATTTATTTTAAGAAATTTTAATGTACAAAACCATATATTATATTATTATAATATAATATTATATTATTATTATTATATTATTATAATATAATAATATTGTCTAATACTATTATAGAGCCAAATAAATTAATAAGCAAATTAATAAATCAAAATGAATCCTAAATATTTGTATTTTTTTATTATGTAAATTTTGATACGCATTAAAATAAAAATGTTACATTAATCTTAAGAAGATGCTGCTTCCTATGCATTTGTTGTCTCCGACTTACACACGTACGACATAGCACATTTTCGTTCTGTAGTTTCAATAGTGTGCTGTTAGTTTTGATATTAGAGTGATCTGACCTCTTATCAATTTTTTAGATAATAACATTATCTGTGCTTAAGCTTTGGCTTTTATTCGATATTTTAATTTAAAAGCCAGATATAAGCATTTTTTATTTCTGATATTTCACATACCCATATCTTGCTTGAAAATGAACATTTTGAAAAATCGGCAACGATTCAGCACAAATTATGTTCCTACCTAAAAGTTTTATAATAGGTCAATTCACTGGTCAAAACCAACAGCACACTATTAAAACTAGTGAACAACAATTTATTATTATCTATGACATAGACTCTATGTCATGCGTGTGTAAGACCGAGACAACAAATGTATGGGTAGCGTCCTCACGACATCCGCATGTGTTGTACGCAGTCGGCAGTCTGAGTAGAACTCTCTCATTTATGGTTTTAGAATAAAAATTTCTATTATTAAATAAAAATATGAGAATATTACGTGAACAAGTAGGAATAAAGGACTCGTCGAACAAAAATCCGAAGAAAAAAAGACCGGTTTAAAAATTGCAGCCAAAAAAAGTCCAAAG